ATCCGTGGGTCGCCCCGCCCGGCGCTGGGAGAGGGAAACTCCAAGCTCTGAGACCGGCGTTTCTGACCCGGCCGGGATAGGGGAGACAGGACCCGAGCCAACCGAAGGAAGGGACCGCGCCTCGCTGAACGCCGGTGCCTGCGGCTGGCAAACCCAGACAGGGCTGCTTGGGTCCAGCCCCAAGGAGGAGAGCCGAGCTGGGGACAAGGCGGAGGCACCCACAGGGCACGAGCAAGACCGCCTCGAGACGCCCCACGGTGCCAAGGAGGACGCCCGGTGCGCCACATGCTCCTCTTCCTCTGACTCGGAACCTGAGGGCTTTTTCTTAGGGCAGCGCCTTCCCCGGCCCCGGAAGACCCCCGGAAGCTTCCAAGCAGAGGACGGCGACACCTCCAAGAGGCACTGCACCATTTGCTAATGACGCGGCTCAGAGATGGGGTCTGAGGAGGAAGGGAATCTGTGAAGCGGGAGAACGAGGTTCTCTTCCCTTTATAAGAAGCCTAGACTGGACGCAATCGGGGCACACCTGGGGAGGCGGCGCAATGACAGATTTGGAGTGCGCCCCTTCTAGCACCGCGCGTTCTATGACTTTTGGTGGAGATTTTCATGGAGAACCCATTCCCCAAAGTTACGCTTCCTCTGCTGAGTTAGCCCCTACCACCAACCCCACGGGCTGGGACAGTCCCGTCCCCACCGTCCTCCTCTTGAGCCAGTTAAGGGATCACTCAGCACGCGAGGCGGTGACTAGCTGGAGAGCTGGAGGTGGGACAGGGAACACGATACCGTAGAGCTGGGTCGCACTCCTTCCCTAGAGTTCGTGGGCGCATAGCTCTCGGAGGTCGGACCAAGCTAGAGCAGCACCGCCCCCTGCTGGTGGGCTGCTGGCGGAAGCGCCGGGCCGGAAGTTGCGTCATCAACCCGCGCCGCCGAGACGGTGCGTCGAGAGACGCACGACCTCAGCACGGAGGTACTACAATGGCTTCCAGCGGGCTCGCCGTGAGCGCTAACGGCTCGGCAAATGAACCTCCGGAGATTCCGGACAACGTGGGAGATTGGCTTCGGGGCGTCTACCGCTTTGCAACCGATAGGAACGATTTCCGGAGGTAACCTAGCCGGGAACTCGGTCCCTGTCGTCCTTATTTCCCCTTCCTCCCGAGGCTGGCGCTCCCCTGTATTTTTACATTGCCAGTATAGTGACCTCTTTTTGGTTCTGGTTGTGCCTTGCTGGAGGCCTTGGCCAGCCGAGTTCTCGTGTGGCAGAAGCTACTTTTCTGTCATGTGGCTGTCTGTAACTATAGAGAATGTTAACCTGACCAGAGAAACCAGGGAAAGAGACGCCAAACATAAACAGGCTTTTCAGCCATGGGCATGTGTTTAGTTGACCTTTGCGTTTGATTCTGCTTATCATAAGCACGGAAACACTCCAAATTCCCATGTTGGTCTTGAGCAACCTGCCGTGTAACAACCATGTATCTACTCGGGAAGGAGTTGATGATGGGTGATAATGGGAAGCCTTTTTCCTCAGTTTTCTTTTTTTTGAGTTGGCGTCTCATTCTGTCGCCCAGGGCGGAGTGCAGTGGCACACTCACGTCCACTGCAGCCTCGACCTGCTGGGCCCAGGTGATCCTTCCGCCTCAGCCTTCCAAGGAGCTGAAACAGGCATGCACCACCACGACTGGCTAATTTTTTTTGATTCATCGTAGAGAGATGAGGTCTCGCCAAGTTGCCCAGGCAATCCTCTCACCTTGGCCTTCCAAAGTGCTGGGATTATAGACGTGAGCCACCGCGCCCGGTCCCCCAGTAGTTTTCGTCAACCATACAGGTGACTCAGTGACCACAGGGTTAGTGAAATTATTGTTTTTACAGGAATTTGATCCTCAATTTGGGACTCTTTGCTGCGGGAGTCTGGCTGGCTAGGAACTTGAGTGACATTGACCTCATGGCACCTCAGCCCGGGGTGTAGTTAGCCAAGGAGGTAAGCACTTAACCACAGCCCTGCGAGTCTCAGGAACCCTAGAGGCTGGTATAGGCAGTAATTTATATCAACTATTCACGAAATGTAGGAAAGACACTTGATGTAAAGCTCTTGGCTCTTAGTTCAGTGTGTTTCTAGATGTTGCAAGGGATTTGAATATCTTTTGACATTTTCCCTCTGGTGTTTTTACACTTCTAATGCCACCCGTTGTCTTGTCATTTGATTGCAGCCAAACGGAATCCTGTGTTGTACCGAACCACCTAAAAACAGAGCCTATGAGCTGTGACTACCACAAGATATGCCCTGATGGCAGCTGAAATTTGGTTCAAACAGGCATCTTCCTTTTCCTGTCTGGTTTCCTTTAGTTCCTTGAGTCCACTCAGAACTCCATTCTCTGGTCAGCAGTCAGGTTTAAGCCAAAGCATTGCCTCTGTTTGTAAAATTCTGTACATAGATCCTATGTTTCTGCAAGAGGTGATCTTTACTCTTGTCCTGAGTAATTACAATGGTGTCTTAACAAATATCTGAAATAAAGACTGCACACAAAGACAGCTGTTTTATTCTTTTAATAAGAAACTTCTGCTTACAAAAACAAAGTGTAAAAAGGCAAGATTTACAAAAATCATAAAAACATGATTTACATTTCATACTCGAGACAGGAATAAGCCCCAAACATGGATTTTAATGGAGGTGGTTTGCTTCATTTTAAAGGAAAAAAAATGGAAACTGTAACCACCATACATTGATGTTAACATAGCATGAAGTTTATTCTTGAGGAATTTCTATTGTTGAGCAGTACTGGGGGAAGAAGCCATTTGGTGTTGCATAGCATTTTAGTGCACCAGATGGATTTTCCAGGCACCAGGGAGGCATTGTTGAAATAGTGTGAGGTTTGGTGATACAAAGAGGGTGGTGATGTGTAGGGGGAGGCAAGGTGTTTAAGCCTAGGCAGTGGGCTCTAAGGTGACACTGCTGAGGAAGCTGCTTCTTTCAGAAAGAAATAGATGTTTTATGACCCTAAAATTCATGGTAGTGCTACTATCCAGTGGTTTGGGATTCTTTGGAAATAGAGTAAGTAAGGAACTGGCATGGAAAGATTCAGGTAACCATAGAAAGAGGTGGCAATAAGACAGGCTCTCCATGGCAATTTTTTTCTAGTCAACTTACTCTGCTTTTATGTGCCACTGGTGTGGTCATGAATTGGAAAGGAGTATCAGTATAAATGTATCACCGTGGCCTAATTGTTACGACTGACATGTTGTTTCTAGCAGTTCATTACTATTTTTTATGGATTTTTATTTTTTGCTTTGGGATTTCACTTTGTCACCCAGGCTGGAGTACAATGGCACAGTCACGGCTCACTGCAGCCTTGACATTCTGGGCTCAGGAGGACCTTCCACCTCAGCCTCCTGAGTAGCTGGGACTACAGATGGGTGCTACCACACCCAGCTACTTTTTTTCTTTGTTGTAAAGACAAAGCCTTGCTATGTTGCCCAGGCTGGTTTTGAACTCCTGGGCTCAAGTAGTGCTCCCACCTCAGCCTCCCAAAGTGCTGAGATTACAGGTGTGAGCCACTGTGCCTCACTGTTTGTTCATTACTAAAGGCAAACAGGACAAAATAGTCTTTTTCTTGACCCTGCCAGCATAAATCTAAAAAAGCTGTTTGAAAATGAGACTTTAAAATGTATATATATATACACACTCACATATATATGTGTATATATATATATATTTTTTTTTTCCTTAAAGCATGATTCTCTTGTGAATATTAAACAGATCTTATCAGATAGAAGGAGCCAAGACCTTTGCACCTGGGTCACAGATACTCTGAGAGGTTTACTGGATATTAAGGTGAAGAAGGGTCACATACATGAAAGCAAGACTTGACTTTGAAGCTATCATCCCCCAAATGGTGACCAAGGAGGAAACCTTTAAGCCAAAGCATAGATGCTAAACCCCATCAGACATGCATCAGACCAATGCTAAGACAAGAAATAACACTCCTTTATAGGAATGAATCTTAGGTCCTTAAATTTACCTGATTTCATAATTGTGGACAGTTTTATTTGATAAACATTTCCAAAGATGAAAATCAAAATCTAGCAAGGCAGCACGGGAGTGTCCAAAAGCATAACTCAGATTTCACTCAAAATTTAATGTTTAACTTCAAGCAAAAATGTTTATTGTTGGATAAGTTTTAAAGTCATAATGTTGGTTGGGCAAAGTTTCTTTTATTTTTAATTTTTTTCTTGTAGAAATGGGGTATAGCTATGTTGTCCAGGGTGATCTTGAACTCCTGGCCTCAAGTGATTCTCCTACCTGGGCCTCCCAAAATTCTGAGCCACCATGCCTAGCCAGGTAGTTTCATTTAAACTGGCTTAATTCTTCAAAGTGATATGAATTTAGTAAATAAAACTACCAAATCTACAATTTCCAAGTATTTTTGATAGTCATCTAAAATAAAAGTGCTGACTTTCACCATTGCCAGCACAACATTCTCCCCAAGGGAAATCAATTTTACATCTTGTCACAATTTTCAGCCCTGGCTAGTTGACAAATGGTACTATGGAAATCTCTAGCTAGTTAAATTTTAAATGAAACATGCCAACAGAAGTGTGTAGAGTGTCCACAAAAATGAGTGCTTACCTCAATGCTATAGTAGCTATAGTGTATTTAGAGCAGTGTGTTGGTTGAGCAAGTACATAGTGGTTAAAGTTGTAGCCCGAGGTAAAGAGAACAGTTATTAAACATGTAAGATATAAACTAAACTCGGTCATATTTAGAAGGTGCATTTCAGCTTTAGTACTGAGTTTTAAAAGAATCTGAACCACCGGGGAGATGTATACTTACCTGGTTAAAAAACTAAGTGGCCATGGGAAGTTTTACCCCAAAGATCCTTCTTTACCTAATCAGTTCAGTAACGCAGAGGGCCCCAATGGTCAACTGTGCTTTGAGTGGTGAGCTTTTTCTAAAAAATAAAGTTTTATTTGTTTTTCTAAGTCAAGGTCTCACTGTGTCACCCAGGCTGGAGTGCAGTGGCACAATCATGGCTACCACAGTCTCAACCTGCTGGGCTCAGGCAATTCTTCTGTCTCAGCCTTCCTAGCAGCTGAAACTACAGGCATAGGCTGCTATGCCCAACTAATTTATTTACGTAGTGACATGGTCTTGCCAAGTTGCCCAGGCTGGTCTCAAACCCCTGGACTTAGGCAATCCTCTTACCTCAGCCTCCCAAAGTGTTGGGGTTACAGGCGTGAGCCACTGCGCCCCGCAAATGGTGAGCTTTTTAGCACCCTGTGGTGAAATTTCATGAGCTCAATGGAAACCTTAAGGTTGTAGTAAAAGAAACAGGCTGTGAACAGCCCAGCAATGAGTAGACTGGGTCTAAGCACCTTCCACAGCCACTTAGCACCATCCTAGTCAGCACCTGCCAGGGAAATGGCATGGGAAACTGGGACAGGGTCTTTATGCCTTCTCTTTTGCTTCATTCCCTCTGCATATTACATAGTGCACTTGCTTGCCTGATGATCTAATATAAGATTCACATAGAGGGGATTTTCTGCACTGCTTCCTGACGTTTTGTGCAAAAGAACTTCAGAACCAATGAAGGTACTGCTTCAGGAGGAACCACTTTTGCTTGACATCTACCATATGTTGCCCAGCATTGGTCATTGTTTCATAAAGACTAAAAGGCCCTTTTCTGAACATTTGTGCTCTCCCAACCAGCTGGAAAACAACCCTTCCACTCATAAATATAACCCCAGATAGGGACATAATATACATTTAGGAAGCAGTTAGCCTCCCAGCCTGATTTGAAAAGGCCCAAGTTAATGTCTGGAACATGAAAAGGGTGGTGAAAAGCAATGGGTACACAGTCTGTTTTGAAAAGTAGCTATTTGATGAATAGTCACAAATACAAAGAATCTGGACATCACAATAAAATTTCAGAACCTGCTGGTAAGAATATTTTGCATTCACACACGAGATATGAAATGCTTTTAAAAAGTCTGTAATACCAAATGTCCTTTAAATACTACAGAGACCCATTTGCCACTTGAAATGACAAGAAATCCTTTCCCTTAATCTTTTCCATGCAAACCATAATTGGGTACAAGGCACCAAATTTTATGAATTGTATAAAATTAGTTCACAAAGCTTTATCAGTAAGTAAAACAAATTCCACTTCTCCCCCCCACCTGCCCACCCACCCCTCACCCCTCACCTCTGATCCCCAACCAAGTTTTCATTCTGCACTACTGTAGACCTCTCTAGGGCTTACGCTGAGGTATGCCCCACTGCCAGCAACCACCTCACTGGTTCTTCCCTTGTACTTGGATGGAGCTGTAAGCATAGCCAGAATAGGGAACTCATACAATCATTGACTCTAGAAGCCTTGCCATTAAAAACAAAAATAAACTCTGCTATTGAGTCCATAGGACACATTAACACTTCCATAGTTTTCGATTTTATTCATGACATTTTAAGAGACATCTGGAAATTCTTTACAGTGTGGCACAGTCCCCCACCCTCTCAGCCTGAGAAGGGCTGGATCAAAGCTGGCAAGAACTCTGCCCACCATTTAATAAGAGCTTCCATTCCTGGCTGCCAAGGGTATTCCTAATTTTTTTTTTTTTTACATTAACATAGATGCCCATCTCAGCAGCAACCACAAGTATGAGGGTCAGACTAGATTGAGGTAAAAAATGCTTTATGAGGGCCAGGGCGCATTCATCTTGGCTGGCTGGCTACAGCACCAAGTAAACACACTAGCCAACTACAAAGGGTTCTTGGAACAGGAGTCTTAACTACTTGCCTGGGAGAGAAGCAGGCCTATTAAGGTTAGAGACCTTGGGTTGATTTGGCAGCATCTAGTCAACTTCTACCTGGTTCTTATTTTCTTCTCTTAAGAATGTTTCAATTTAATGTAAGATGCAACTGAGACATTCATCTACTCCCAGTATATAAATAAAGGCAAAGGACATTTCCCTCACAAAAGCCATTGGCTTACACAGCAGGAAACTCTTTTCTTTAATAAAAATCTTAAATATTAACTTCCTAAGTGTCTAGTGCTGCTGTCTCTGGGTACCTGAGGTGTCTGTAACTGCAGTGGGCACCTTAACAAATGTGTAGCTCAGTGGAAACGCTGATGTTGGTTGCTTGCATTAATTTGATACATGGGTGCTCAGCTAAGTGGGTATTTCACAAAGTCCTTAATCTGCTTAATAATCCTTATAATATTTTGTATAAAACTACTCTTAAAAACTAAATTTGAGGATCTTTGAATTTTCCATTAAATGTTTATGTTTATTAATAAGTAATCCCCCTGGACAGCCTGAGGGGTGAAGTTGATGCTCTATTAGTTCTTCTCTATCTTGTAGGTTCTCTTTTTCTAGAATAATAAATATAGGATTTAATGAAGATGAGGCACGATTCATAGTTTCCTTTTGACTCTCCTTGATTTTTTCTGAATGGGCTTATCAATTGCCACAAAAAGTCACTACCAATCATGCCAACTTAAAAATGTAGATCTTGAGGGTACAGCTTTACATCAGAGCCTCTGCCAGCATGGGCAGCGGTGACACTTTAAAACAGTGTCCAGGAGAGGGTGAGCCCAGGCAAAGCTTATACAAAGAAGCCTGCAGTAGACAATATAAACCAAACAGCATAAAAAATGCCATACACTATCGCTTCCAAATAAAAGCTAAATATTACAGAAACCTCACAGTGTTGGCAAAAGCAAGTTTAATTAAAAATCTTCCCTATCAGGGTGAGCCATTTTTTGTCTGAATTTCCTCCATGTCTCAGTGCTGCCTGGCAGGTCTTATGGGAGAGTTCATCTTAAGAGAGGTCAACAGCAAATGCTACAGAGCTGTTTGGGAAATGTGGCTCAACAACATTGCTAAAGCTATAACCCTCATTCTTTAGCCTTACTTTCCCCACTTCCCACCCCTCCCCAAACTCCCTTTCACATCTACTTCCTTCAAGTGACGACTGTACTTCTACCTGAATTCAAACATTAATATGATATACTCAGTCAAAAGATGAGCATTCATAATGACAGCTTGAGGCTCACTGCAGCAACCACAGCAACGAGAGTCAGAGTATGCATTCACTTTCACTGGTGAATCTAAGTGAAGAATTAAGAGAAACTCAGTGGTGCCTGATGGGGAGGAGGATTTTTGTCCGGGCAATTTTATCCTATTTAGAAACTGACTGAATTTTAAAAGAAAGATGTGTTTTACTAGCACAGAAGCAAAGGACAGGGCGCTCTTCTTTTTTCTATGATGGAATGAGATTGGGGAGTAGAGCAACAGTGGGGATGATCAGATTTGGGAGGAAACAGACCAAGGCCATCAGCAATAAACTGCTCAGACATGTAAGGGATAGATTCCGAAGCAGTTCCCATGCCCTAGGAAAACAAAGGCTCCCAAGCCCTGTGAACACGAATGTTCTAGCTCTCTAGGAGCAAGAAGAAGCTTCATGCTGCACTGAGATGAGGTAACAGGAATTCATATAAGCCCTAGACCACTGGCTATCCCTGCCCACCCTCAACTGAGTTCTGAGAAAGCCTCAGATAACTGACCTAAGGACTAATTTAAATCAAACCATGTGCTTGTCCCTAGACTTGAACCAGGGATCTGCTATAGAACGGGGATAGCCAGGAGTACCCTTTGGCTCAGCATGCAACAAAGAACATGTACTAGTCTGTTGCTTCCTTATATGAACTGTCCCTTCTCCCTTCTTTAGAATGAAGGGGTAATTCATGCCAATCTCAGAAGTGTGGAATCGATTAAATGACAGCAGCAACCAGGGAGAGTATAACATGTGAAAACCCTCTCATTCTTCATGGGGGAAATTTGCTCCATGCATTTCACTCCATTCTTCAAGTGCTATTCCCTTAAAAAAGGAAGTCTGCAAGTTTTCAATTCTTGAGGGTTACTTCCTTTGTGGGAATAAATCCTTAGACTTCATCTCCCACCTTGAAACCAATTCCCATCCAGCAAGCTGCCAGCACAGGCCCTTCCTCACGTGCTCTGTCCAGGGCCGCTCACATCAGGAGGGTTCTTCTGGTGCTGCAAGGAGGTCCTGATTAGCAGGGGAATCACTTAATGGAGAGAAAACCTGGCTGCTCTCCTGTGTGGTTATGATCAATTTACCTCCTCTTTCCTCCACCCTGATCCCTCTATATTCAGAACCAACTGATGAAAGAATCATAAAAGCTGCCCATAGAAGTCACTCCTTTTTATGTGTTTTTATGAGAGGAGGATATTTCCAAATTCCTTCAAAAGAAAGTGACTACAAAATTTATGGTAGGACATGAATCACCTGGCATCTTCTACTCTAGACCCAGTGAGGCAAACCTAGTGATCCTGCTCCTGCAGTAAGCCTTATTTCCTATGAGAGGAAAGACATACGGACACCAATAGTTTAAAAGCAAGCCAGTCTTTGATACACATCTCCCATTCAGGGGAATGTCTGTTGTCTGCCTTCATCGCTGTTGCTGGACTGCACCTGAGCTTGGAGTTGGGTTTCTGAGAGTCTTGCTTTGCCCTGCACTGTTCTTTGAGTGTAAAAAAGGATGTAGGCCTGGGTTTTGCACACTTCCTCGACACTGCATACATTCAGCTTTGAGTCATTGCAGTGGACCCAAAAACCTAGGAAACCAAAGAAGAGAAAAAGAGAAAATGACTACTCAACTTATACTTCCAATCAGCAGGCAAAATCAGGAAATGAAGAAAGGGACAGAGGAGTTCTGAACAGAGCCAATCTTTGATTATTGGTGAAAGGGACAAGTACGTGAAATCAGTAGACATCCCTGTAACCACCAAACCCTACCATAATACTGCTACGGTATCAACTGATTATAATTCTTGTCTTCATTTTACTCAGGCCTTTTCATTGTCCATTAGGGCCTTCTACAAAGATAGCTGGGATACTGGGGAAGAGGAGGGAAGAGGAGAAATGGAAATGGGGGTAGTGATAAAGGAAAATTTAGAAAGAATAAAAGTATTTGTTCACAGGCTCTGGCTGCGCCAAGGGCTGTGTGGTTTAAGAACTGCACTGCTAAAAACACATCTGGAGCCCATCTACCTCAGCGCAGTAGCTGGGAGCCTCTGCTCTGAAGGATGAGGACTGAACGCTCCTTGGGAGGGACCCTGACATCCCCACACTTCCCATGGTAAGGGAAGTAGTAAGGTCATAGTAAGTGCTCAGTAATGTCCTCAGCTGTATTATGAGCGAAGGCTAGTGAGATTCATAAAATATCTCCATGAGGTTACACAGGAAGTACTGTTTCTGCATAACCAAAAAGGAAATTGAGGTCTACGGAAGAAGCAGTACTATAACAAAAGTAATACTATCAATAATCAATATTATTGATAATACTACAATAACCTCCAACACTGAGCTAGCACTGTGTGCTAGGTGCTGTTTTAAGTACTTTTATGTGTCAGTTCCTTTTAATTCTTAAAACAACCATATATTGTTACTTAGTGATATACCCAAAATTTGAGTTCAACTTTCATAATTCCACTGGATTTTAATGTATGTAATTTACCCTAGGTAATCCGTGGGAGGAAATAAAAGCAATAAAATGTGGACAAATCAACCCTTTTCCGTGTCCCCAACCCCACAGAGTAAAGCGCACGCACCTCCCTCTGTGTTGTAGCAATAGGCTGTGTAGTGTCCTGAGCCAAACCCTTTCCCGTGATGCATGACCACTGCGGAGAGATCATAGGCAAAGGTCTCTTTGTCAAGAGAGGAGAGCATGTCCCTGCAGCAGTAAGGTTCCATGGTTAATACCTGGTCAAAGACGACATGGACCCCAATCTTCTCTCGATGATTACGGCCAGACCACCTAGAACATGGATATAAAACTTGTTACTACTAAAAACTGGCATATGTGATCATAGGTAGAGGTAGGGAAAATAGCGTACTCAAAAACCTAACCTTCTGGCTTTGGTTTTCTCCTCAATAATATGGTGGTAATCAGTGTCCACATGTATTTGCTGTGAATGTTCTACAAAGTACTCTGAACCTAGAGATCCCTAAACAGGCACTCTGGGAAACAATCTTGAAGTTTATGATCTGCCCTTCTTTTCACAAATTATTTTATACTTTATCCTGAAGATGAATCTACATAAGCCCAAGCAAGGCTAGAAAAATCTTTAAGTACAGACACCTGGTATGGCTAGACAATTATACAATGCCATCAAAGCAAAAGCCTAGTCCTAATGGGCCCCAACATCAACTTGCCTTACCAGATGTGAACCATTTCATCTTCATGGAAAGTGCAAGGTCTCAAAGGAACAGGCTACCCCTCCCAACACCAAAGAAAACATCTACCCTCACCAAAGCCGTTGAAGCAGCTATTCCCACAGCTCACAGCCATCTGAGACTTCCAGAGCAAGCTCACCTGAATCTTTTAAGGTGCAGCCGGAGAACCTGAGGTAGTCTGTAGATCATTAACTGCTTTCTAGCTTCACTCAGAACAAGGGGTTTTGGATTGGATTTTCGTCGTTTGCCTATATGGTTTGGGAAGGCATAAGACAGGTTGTAAGGAGTTGGATCATTTTCTAGCTATGACAGAGATAATGACTTGCCACTCAATATGCATTCTCCATATTTCTCAGTTTTGAACCTCAATTTTATTTGGGGCAGCGATGTAACCTTCTTTATGACTGTATTTCCCAGCTTCACATGCCTGCATGATGTGGCTATGGATGTTCTGGTTAAGATGAAAGAAATGATTATGTGGCACTCTTGGGATGGCTGCTGAAAGACGGTTGACTTAGTTGCAAGGTGTATCCCTTTGTCCTTTCCACTGTCTGCAACTGCTGGAATTCCTCTCGGACCATAAAAGTAACTTTGAAGATGGAAGGCTTGCGCTAGGATAGTAAAGCAGAAAGAGCTTGGATCCCTGATGATCATGCACCCATATGCCAGTCAGCTCCTGAATGTCCTTCAGACTTCTTCTTCTTATTATTCTTTTTGTTTTTTTTTTTTGAGTTGAAGTCTCACTTTGTCACCCAGGCTGGAGTGCAGTGGCACGCTCACAGCCACCGCAGTCTCAACCTGCAGGGCTCAGGCGATCCTTCCACCTCAGCCTTCCAAGTAGCTGGAACAACAAGCACATGCCACCACGCCTGGCTGATTTTTTGGTTTATTGTAGAGATGAGGTTTCGCCAATTTTCCCAGGCTGCTTGAACCTGTGGGTTTAGGCAATCCTCTCACTTCGGCCTCCCAAAGTGCTGAGATTATAGGCGTGAGCCACTGCACCTGGCCCGTACTTCTTTTATATAACACAAAAATAAAACTGTATCTCATTTTTAAATAATGTTATTTGGGTTGACTGTTATAAGCAAACAAACCCATTTTTCAAATTTTTACCATCAACAACTTCTAAAATTGGCATGTGTTTAGGATGGTACACTCCTGATACTATGGATTTATTAATGAAATATAATGGTCATGCAACAGCATACACATAGCATAGAAGCATGTGGTAGGACTCTATGCCTTCATATGTGGGCTTATAACTTAAATTATGATACATCATAATATAACTTTAAAAAGCTTTTTGTTTTCACTAGATAGGCCCAATTCTATTTCCTGCTTACAGACAGTTGTATGCTAATAGATGAATTTTAAAACTCTGAATCTCAGTTTCCTCACTAATAAAACATGGAATAATGCAGACATTTTAGGTTTAGAGATAAAAAGGATAACATTACTAAAGGCCAGAGTATTTAAACAGATGTGTTCAGCATGAGTTGCTATGGCATATTCAAATATTTAGAAAATAAACTTTGCTGGTTCTATATTTTTATGCTGTATTTAATTTTTGAAACATATTCTTAGATAAAAAATTACTGCTAGACAAAGCTGATAGGTGGCTAAAGCCACCCAGTCCAAAGCAGAACTAGTGCTCAAACTCTAATTTTGTTTCTAACTGTGGGAGAAGCGCACTTCTAAATTTCAGCAAATAAACAATGGAAGTAAAGTTGTCTTAATTTCTGTAAGAAGTCTTCTATACAACCAGCTACTGATCACTGTTCTATTATTACAGTAATTAAATTGGTAAATGGATGGGAAAATAAAATTAGTGGCCCACAGTCGTGTTTGCTAATTGTCTTGAGCTGTTGATATCAAGGTTTCAGTGTCTAGGGAGCTTGGCATCTGATTCCAAGTCCCATCTGTACTGGTGAAAAGTAGGAAATCACAGCCAAATGATAATTCACAGAGCTTTCTGTGACAACAGTATGTGGAGGTGTTGCTTCTCATAATAGATTGCATCAGAATGAATGTGCCATAGATTTTACCAGAGTGTGCAGTCACAATATGATGGGGCATGAATAGAAATCAAATTCAAAGAGAGGCCTGGCCTTATTTTATATTTCTATTTGTGGGATATCTGAAAATTACTGCGACTCAAACCTGGCAGTGACTGCCACCCTCAGCAGAGGGAGTATGTGAGCTAAGATGAAGACAATATAGAATCCGGCTTTGTTTCCCTAAACTGAAATTCACAAAGAAAAACAAATTACTGATTCAATTGAGATTGATCAGTTCTGTCTTTGTTTGATTAAGCTGGACACACAGAAAGATAGAAGGAAGACTGACAATTTTGAGACTTCACAAGCAACAGATCAATGCATCTCATCCCCTCACCATAGCGTTCCTTCTTGCAATTATTTTCACCTGCCTAGAGAAATCCTGATAAACCAGTGCATCTGACAACAAGAAAAACATTCCTTTCTTGCAAAAATAAATAAAAGTATTCTCTGCCTAATCTATCACATCCAAGAATGATGGAGATAAAGCTGTCATTACCCTTTAGTTCCTTACAAATAAAAGACTTTATGAATCACTGTTTGCAAAAAAATAGTTCATAATGGGTAGCTCCAGAAAAAAGACAAAAATTTTTTAAGAATTTAAAAACCATGGCAATTGAGGGAAACTGCCAGGGGAGGAAGGGGCACACCTGATCTACCTGCATAATGAACATTTGTATACTTAACCCCGAATTGTACCCCATATCTTTAAAATAAAAAAAAAAAAGAATTTAAAAACCAGATAAAAGAACAAAATTAAAAACCAGATATTGCTCCAAAAAGACAATTTAACTCACCTGCCTCTGTATCACAAAATGGAACAAAACAGGTAGGTCTACAGGTAACCAGGTACAACATTTCAAGTTTTGTTCTAAAATGGCAAAATGATATCAAGCATGATTTTTTATTTTTGTCCTGATTCTTTAAAGAGCAGAACAGGTTTCCCAAGTTTACTGTTTTAAAAAAACATGTGAAAAATATATTAAAGAAGTGCTATCATAAATTTTTTGTTTGTTTGTTTGTTTTTGAGTTGGAGTCTCACTCTGTCACCCAGACTGGAGTGCAGTGGCCGC